ATGGCACGCGAGCAGGGAGACGCGGAAGTGGTGTTGGCAACGACGCAGGTTGAAGCTGTATTGCCTGTTCAGGCATGTGCTTGGCTGAAGATGCGCTGTCGTCGCTGCTGTTCACATGTGTACAGGTGGCAGGTGCGGCAACGCCACCGCGCAATGCGTGCTCAGGATGGCTGTCAACTGTTGTGCGATCAGCAGCAGCAGTAGGGCTGATCATGTCATGGGTAGAGTCAGTGCATGATGTAGGATGTGTGGGAGACAGGTAGGCGCCAAGTTGCAGGCCGCCCACAGCCAGCACGCCCTGTGTGACCGAGGGGTCGTATGGTGACCAACGCAGGCAGCCTACAGAAGCCGATATGGTTGGTGGTGTAGAGAGCAACGGAGAGAGAGAGAGGGGAGGCAAGGGCAGGTTAAGCGAGGACGGTTAGGGGAGTAGGGAGGGAGGGGGGTGAAGCTGACAAAGGGACAGTGCCGCAGAAATGCACGAGAGAGTAAAGATGCACGATAGACAGGCAGGAGATGGACAAGCAGACAGGCAGACAGACAGGCGTACACACAGACATGGGTACACACAGACACAGACACAGACACAGACACAGGCACAGACACACATGCACACACACACACCGTGACTGCTGTCGCTATCCTCTGCCTGCTCATCCTCGTCGTACTCCTCCGCCTGAGTGGGAAGGAGAAAGGCATCCACGCCGTCCAATGGGCGACCAATGCAAGCTGCTTCCTGCTGTGTACGCGTGCAGCGGTGCGAGAACTGGTACACGGTGCCTTCCGTGGTGCCGTACACGTTGTACAGGGCAACCTGGTCACACCACGTGCTGATGATGGCTGGCGATAGGGGTTCACCGCCGAGCATCACAGCACGCAGGTGCAGGGGGAATGACGGTGGGCAGGACGCTGTGGGTGGTGCGTGTCCTGGTGTTGGTGATGTTGGCTGTGTTGGCTGGCGTGTTGGGTGTTGAGGTGTTGGTGGCGGCTGGACAAAGGACCAGATGGAAGGTGTGGTCATGACGTGGGTTATGCGGTGGCGGGCGATGGCGCCCTGCATGTCTTGCAGCAACACATCGCGCGGCACAACAACAAGCGTGCCTCCAGTCACCAGCGTGGTAATGACCTGCCGTTGCGTGAGCGTGAGTGAGTGAGTGAGTGAGTGAGTGAGTGAGTGAGTGATTGAGTGTGTGTGTGTGTGTGTGTGCACAGCCACATTGTATGCATGTGTGGCATGTGTGCGCACTCCACCAAGTGACACACAGCAGGTCACTAATGCGCAACACTGGCATACCTCGCCAACAAATGGGTCAAAGGAGAGAGCAGAAGCCACGAGGACGCGGGCACTGCTGTCGTACCCGTGCGCACTCGCGTGTGCGTTTACATAGTGCATCATAGCGCCCACTGTGCACACAACAGGCTTTGGCCTGGACGAAGAGAGAAAGCGAGGAGGGTTACAATGAATGGCGTGCGTGTGTGAGTGCATGAGTGGAAGAAGAGTGGATACAGCGGGTGGGGTGGAAGTGTTCGACACAACTACAGACACACACACAGACACACACACAGACACACACAGACAGACAGACAGACAGACAGACAGACACACACACACACACACACACCTGCCAGTGGTTCCGGACGTGTGGTACACGTGGAGCTCATCAGGGATGGGCGGCGGTGGTGAGGCGGTTGTGTTGCTGCAGTAGAGGCGTGCGCTGGCGCCCAGCTGCTGAGGCAGTGCGTCCAGCAGCAGGTCCATGTGGGCGAGCCACCCACAGCGAGCCCCGGCACTGCCGGCAACAAGGACGATGGAGCACAGCTCCAAGCAGCACGCGGCACGCGGCCAAGGTGTCGAGGCGGCGATGGGAACCGCAGAGTGGCCAGCCTTCCACACCGCCAAGATGGCCAAGATCACGCTCATGTCCACGGATCCAACAACGGCAACACGGACGCGGGCGTCGCACGGGGCAGCAGCGAGGCCTTGTTGTCGCAGCACCTCTTGCAGAGTAGCAGCCCACTTCTCCACGCCTGCACGCAGCTCCACATTGCTCACACGTTGGCCACCATCAACCTCCACGCTGCCCCTCAACTCATCAACATCCATGTCAAGCAAGCAAACAAGCAGGCAAGCAGTCCTTCCAAACACGTGCTTTGTGGTGTGTGTGTGTGTGTGTGTGTGTGTGTGTGTGTGTGTGTGTGTGTGTGTGTGTGTGTGTGTGTGTGTGCGCACCAGCAGCAATCCTGCCCTGGAACAGCAGAATCACTTTGGATCGTGTAATGGAGCAAGCAAGGGGGCATGGCCATGCCCTCCTCAAGACAGAGAGCAACAAGAACGTCAAACAAAGTCAAACAACGACAACACCAACAAGACCACTATCACTGCTGCCAGATAAGGTGGACAGCACACATGGGTTCAAGCTTAGAGAGAGAGGGGGGGGGGGAAGCGTAAGTTGTAGCAACAGCAGAGACACACCAGCTAACATCTAGCCAACACAAAGCAAGTCGAAAGAGAGCAAGAGTAGGTAGGAGCGTATATGCGTATTGATTGATTGGGGGCACGGTCAAAGCCCCTGCACCAAACCAAACAGGCACACGATGCAAGAAGGAAGAAGGACCAAGAGATAAGAAGATGATGAGAGAAAAGGGGCGGGGGAGGGCGCGAACCACTATCAAGAGCAGTTACAGTCACGACAGCACGTTCACAGTGCAAATACACAGTGCAAGCGAAAGCACACCAAGGAGGCGGGCGACAAATAGAAACGAACGGCCACCACGTGGTCAACAGCAGCAACGCGGACAAAGCACCGGCACGCGTGCTTCACCAAGAACATACACAACTAGATCTGACACACTCGCATCAACAGCATGTACACAAGCACGAGGGAGAGAGTGTGTGCGTGTGCGTGTGTGAATGAGGGTGTGGTTTACAAAACCTCGCAGACACATAGACATACACAGACACATACACACACATACATACGGACAGGTACATGGACGATCAGACACAGACACACCCTCTGCGTTATTGTGTCTGGCCACTATCGTCGTGTGTAGTCGCGCTGTATGCGGACGTGACTGTGTAGGCAAGCGACGTGGGTGCAGTACTCGCTGCTGGTGCGGCAGTGGTGGTGCTGGCCGTCGACAGCGTGATGAGGGGCTGCTGCTCACTGACATTGTCATCTGCAGGTTGCTTCTGCGTGTCGCCACCACCACCACCACCGCTGCGGCTGCTGCGGCTGCTGCTGGTACCATTACCAACCACACCCTGCACGGACCCGATCAACGGTTGCCGCTGCTGCTGTGGTTGATGCTGTGGTTGCTGCTGGTGCGATGTGTTGATGGATGGAAAGTGCGACGATTGGGGTGGCAGAACTTGCCCACCACCGCGACCGCCACCACCGTTGGTTGCACTTGCTTGTCGCTGCTGCTGTTGATGGTGCTGCTGCTGTTGATGGTGCTGCTGATGTTGATGTTGGTAGTGTTGTTGGTGGTGGTGGTGTTGTTGTGGTGCTGGTGGACCTGTCGACAGCGCTGCTGAAGGCGTCTGTGCGCGTGCAAACGTCACGCCCTCCATCGAGCCCGTTGGCAGCGGTGACGGCGTCGAAAACGTGCCCATTCGCGGCAGTCCAAGCATCCCACTACTGCCACCGCCAACAACGCCGCCGAGGTGTGTTGGCGTCTGTTGTCCTGCTGGGGTGTTGCTGCCCGTGCCCAGCGCCGTGTTGGGCCCGCTCGTCGTGCCGTGTAGAAGACCCGCATCGGTCATCATGCCTGGTGGAGGTGTCGTGATGGTGGACGCAGGGCCCTGCGGCATGAGCAGCATCTGCGCATCCCACCCGCGCGCGGCGCTGCTGCCGCTGCCAGGCGTGGATGCACGCTGATGTTGCTGGTGGTGGTGGTAGCTGCTTGACGTTGGCGTCGGTGCCGACGTGTTGGTTGATGGTGTTGCCATTGCGGACGCAGGCGACGATGCTGTTGCAGCCACCATGCCAAAGTGCGGCAATCCAGGGTGCTGCGCCGTGTGCAGCTGCATCTGTGCAGCACCCACAGCAAAGCTGTTGGCAGATGTGGTGGCGGTGGAGGTGGCGGTGGAGGGCGGGGCAGCGGTGGTGATGATATCCTGCGCACCAGTGATGCGATACGAGAGGCCACTCATCATGGGCAGGGAGTGTGCTGATGTCGCTGTTGTCGACGTGTGCCCTGCAGATGAGGACGAAGGCAGCGTCGTGTGTGTGGCGAGGCCAGTCGGGTTGATGGCATATCCGTTGAAGCCAACGCCACTCATCATTTGCGACGTGGCCACGCTCGCCGCCGTCGTCGCTGTTGCCGGCATCATCATCGTCGTCGTCGTCGTCCCACCACCGCTTCCCATTGTGCTTGAAGGCAATCCATTGGCGGCACGACCACCACTGGTACTCTGACTTGCAGTGGCATGACTGCTATTCGTCGAGTGTGTGGCAAATGTGTTGCCACCACCACCACCACCACCACCATTGCCACCAACACCGCCGCTGCCGCTGCTATTTTGGCCTACGCGCATGTGTGCAAGGCTCTGTGCCACCGTCTTTGAGGGGCTGGGGCCCGCACTGTCACGAGCGCTTTGTGCTTCCGATCGCGACAACTTGCGCGGCGCTTTCTTCCTGCAGGGGTCATGATGCAAGTTGAGGAAGGGAAAGAGAATGAGAGTGAGAGAGAATGAGAGAGTGTGATTTTGAGTGAGTGAGAGAGTGTGAGTGAGTGAGTGGTGGTGGTGATGAGGTGTCGCTGTGGCGGTGGTGGTGAGCGTGAGCGTGAGCGTGGTTAACTGAGGTCATCCACAACAAAACATGGCACGTGGCATCGCGTATCCATTCGCCCAGAACTTAGACGTACACAAGCACACACACACACACACACACACACACACACACACACACACACACACGCAGCTCAGCGTGACGCACTTTGATGCCTTCTTTGGGCGGGATTTGCTCTTGGGGCCTCTGGACTTGCGTTTGAAG